AGGCTCAAATTATCCTACTTTGGACACATTATGTGAAGACCAAGCTCTCTGGAGAAGGCTCTAATGCTGGGAAAGATGGAAGGAACGAGAAGAGAATGATCAGCAGCCAGGTTGCTGGACTGTTACAGTGACATTGAATGCACCATTGGAAGAGGTTAAGGACAGATCATCATGGAGAAAATCTATCTATGTGGTCACTAAGAGTTGACAACAACTTGATGGCACATAATCAATACAGGTTGGCAATGTGTGCCAACAGAGACTTTCTTTGGCATCTGCCAGGCTTTCTGTCCCTTTTTTAAAAAAAATTGTAAACTACAAAATGCAAAGCAAAGTGCCAATGTCCAGAATTATCTTCATTTACAAAAATGCCTCTGATCCCTTCATAGGCCTTTATGCCATACTTAAAAAATAAAAATTCTGTATGACTCCTTTGTTTTATATACTCATTTGCTCAGAATGAATGTCAGGCATTTGCAAGAGCACCCCCAACATGCTCCCAATATTTCAATTTTTTTTTCCAATTGTTTTCATTTTTTAAAAAATAATATTGGAAGCTGGCAAAACACTTTTTAAAAGCATCACTTTGAGATCCACCAGCATTCTTAGAAAATAAATAGGCTACCTGGCTCAGGGCTTTGCAAATCTGCCCATGTGTGCAATGGTGGTGGGAGGGAAAGAGATAGAAATCTCACGAGCTGATTTTCTGGTAAATAGGTGCTTTGCAAATAGCCACACACTTCATAAGCAGCCATTTTGTGAGAACCTCAATATATTCCTGCCTACTAACTCCTGCCTATTAGCCCAAAAAGATTTGGGGGGCGCTGCTCAGTGGCGCCTTTTCCTAGATAAGTAGGTATAATTGAGGTTAGATTGCCCCCAACCTTGTTGGCCTTGAAGTCCCTGATGACATCAGGCCTGGAGATCCCATGGACGTGGGGAGTCTGCAAGATGGTTGTATTGCTTGTGAGCTGTAGGCTGGCAGTTTCCTGCACATTTACATTTCTGGTTAATTGTTTTAATTATTTATACAAGTGTCTTTGCTATTTTAACTTGTGAGCCACGAAGAGTCATGTGAGATGGACAGCTATATAAATTTAAATAAATAAATAAAATAAGTAAATAAATAATACTGCTGCCTCATTGTGCCATAAACCTGGGTGGACTACATCCCTTTTTAGTAGCTATATAAATAAACTTAGCTGTTCCCAATATAATCAATGGTACTTAGCTTGGCTGCATCTTCCCAGAAGGGAAAAAAAACAGTAAACCTGCTTCTCATTAGAAAACAAATCCAGAAATAAAACACATCAGATCCGGGCTGTAAAAATCAGGATGAGCAGTAGAGAGCAGCAGAGTCGGACAACTCATGTCCTTTGCTCCCAGATTTTCCCAAACCAGATATATTATGCCTAGATGGCCACCTACTTCCAGAGACTGGGCACTCTTGAATCCTATGAAAGTGCTGATGCTGAATGCACAAGGCAGGAGTCACTTGAAAGACTGCCCAGCATCAGTTCTGACGAAGAAAGGTTTACCAGCATGGAGACCATGTAACCAGAAAGCGCAGAGATGGTACAACCAGGCTGTGGCTTATAATAATGATAATGATAATGATAAAAAAAAAAATTAAGCACTACAGAAAACTGCACTGACCATTCTCCCCGAGCCCCCTCCCAACTTACCCCCCCCCCACGCAATGTTGGCATTTCAGCCGGTCTTGACCGGCAGCATCCATGCCCCTGAAAACAGTGTGTGGTCTTCGAAGGCCCCAAGAACC